TGAGACGAGAACGACTATCATCTCTCTCTTTTCGTACAGATTACATAAAATGAGAAAAAAGTGTTTTTATATAAATTACTTCATTTAAAAGAAGATAATTCAGGCTTCATGCCTGTGTGCCTGTATACCTGTTTGACTGAGTATTTGCAGAGTTACAGATGATTTTTCGGACGCGTTTCAGAATGGACTTAACTGACAGAGAGAACGCAGAACGCGCATCATGTTTATTTTTCTTTATTAGGCGAAAAGCACAACACTTTGTTTTATTATATGAGGTTCCACAAAAAAAATACAAACTTAACAGGATCGAATGATGTACAACACTTATATGTAAGATCAAAATCAACAGAGTAATTTGAGTCTCTTTTGCACTGATAAGGAAAAAAGTGAGCTGGTATCGCCGGCGAGACCGCCGACCCCAGAGAGTTAAACAGAACAATTCAAAACGAAAGACAGACAGATTCATGCAATCGTATGAAATGTGTATTTCTCTCTGGCGCGCACTCACTGAAGATCGCGAGTCAGCATCGTCAACTTCATCTTTGGCTGACACTGACTGAAAACACTTGTTTATTAATAAACAATTAAAATGTCTCCTTGCTATATTTGTTGTATTCATAATCATTACTTTTGCCAGTTCTTGTGACAGCTTTTAGGTGCTTTATTGGCAGCGCCACCCTATGAATCACCGCACCCGCATTTTTTTAAATATTAATTTATCGGCCATTATAAATGCCGATACCGATAGTTAGGAAAATGCCTAAAATCGGCCGATAATATCGGCCCGCCGATATATCGGTCGGGCTCTAATCGCGATATTTTCATGGCGTACCGAACACGCCCCGCCCCCTGCTGCCCCGTTCAGCCCTTGCCCATTGTTGAGGTTCACCTCACTTTACCTTATGTCACAAAACTAATTTTTCTTCCTTGACAATTGATTAGATTAAATAGTATTTAGCGGTGTTAGGGGAATAACGATACATTTATTCTTCCCGCGAATTTTCATGTGTCTTATGTGTACAAGACGAATACAGTGTTGTAGCATAACCAACATTAACCACCAATAATCGCAATAAGCTCCGCGGTTTGTTACTTTCGATAAGAAACAAAGTGTATTTTTTCACATTTTGTCCATTTTATCACGAAATTCAAACAAAAAATGCTGTTTTGATGCTCTTTAATGTGGCGTGACATCACTATATAGGCGGTGCAAGTGAACGCGATCATCTCTTCCTTATAAACATGAATGAACTTCTGAAGGTATGTTGAAAGATACAGTACAACTTACTGAAACAACTTACTGTATTATATCTCATGTAATCGCTCAATTAGTGTCCAGTGTCCACACATGTTAGTTCACTATATATATATATATATATATATATATATATATATATATATATATATATCTAGGCTTATATAGTGGCTTATATAGTAGATATATATATATAATATATATATATATATATATATATATATATATATATATATATATATATATGCACTATATAAGCCTATATATTCATTATATTATACTTAACCTGTTAGTGATATCTTGATTTATTTAATGTATGTTTAAAATATCTGTCATGAAAATGACAGACACTGTATAAATTATTATATTTTAACAACGAATTGGAGTAAAAACATATAATTAGATTTAGAAGTTAATGCAAAAACTGCTTTATGTGCAGTCTACATGTTTGCATACAAATTATTATTTGAGTGTTGATTATTATATCTTATAGCTAATAATTTGGGCTCTGTTGTTAAACTTTAATATTATAGTAATGTGCAAGTAAGGGCTCCCTATATATTTTACAGCATTAGTAGAGATTAAAAAAAATAATGGGGGGTTGACGGACTTGTGACTTGAGCGCGGCGACTTCTCCAAGGGGGGGGTGGGGGGTCGACGGACTTTTGACTTGAGCGTGGCGACTTCTAAGGCCCCCCCCCCCATGCCTCGGGGCCTGGGTACTCAGTACCCCTTTTCCCCCCGCTACCACGCCCCTGACCGTCACACCCCTAATCCGTATCCTTTAGAAGTGCATGCAAAGTGGATTTGCTTTCACAGTGTAGAAAACGGCATATTCTTGACATGTTGACAGCATAAACCAGACCAAACAAACATAAACCTCTTCTTGGCCTCACCTACAATTACAGCCTTTCTGGGTCAAAGTAGACATTGTTTGCATGCAGCCAATGAAGACCATAGGCTCTCACATTATGCAAATGTGTTGCAAACCTACTTGAGTTGGTGCAGGAAGTAAGACTTACTGTTGACTCGTCTCAGGCAGTTTAGAATCAGTTCTTTTTTGGGGGGGGAGACCATAACAATAAACAATAGAGTATGCAAAGAAACTTTGCATACTTTCACATCTACAAACAGCTATATTACACACCACATGAAAGGTAATATCCGAAAAAACATAATAGCGACACTTTATGCTGTGTCTCTCCTGTACAGTCTGTGTTTGAATTATATTTTCTGGAAAGTGCAAAATAAATTTCAGTTGCAGCAGAGAATTCTGTCAGCACGAATGAGATTTTTACTGTAATATATGACCATGGAAACAAATCACATTTTACTTCATTAAAATAATTTAAACACAATTTACTGGCTGACTTTATATCAGCAAATGTACATCCTAAAATGCTTGTTCAATAGCACCCCATTTGGGTACATTGTTCCACAGGAAAATAACTAGGATTACAGAAGCCTTGGCTCCTTGCCTACATTTAGTGTGTACTATTTTTCTAGCCTTGACTTGGTTCACGGCTACATTTCTGTGCCAGACATTAGAATCAATAAATGAATAACCTGCACATTATCAGCATGACAAATGGCTGCTGCTGTGCTACTTTTCTTGTGAAGCACTCTTTGGAGGTAATCAAACTTTTTTTCTGCCTTTTTCTTCTTCATTTTTTTTTCGTTTTTTAACCATGACTCTTCCGGAAGCACAAAAGAAAGGATCTCCAGAAGGAATTACGGAAATAGACAGAAAATAATGAGCTTCGCTCTCACTAAGTGTTTCCCGCTGAAGATTTACACTGAGCATGGGGGCGACTCCTTAATTACAAGAGTAAATTAATTGCCAGGTTTTGTCTCCTAATGATACCATGTGGGAAATAGCAAACATTTGAATCTAAATTTTCAACAACCATTTAAAATCATGATTGAATAACATCATACTATACCCTACGTATATCCCTCGCCATCATTCATTAATTTCTTCATTCCTGTTCCCTTGTTAAAAGCGACACCATCAGTTGAGATCGCCGCATTGTCATCTTGTCGGGGTCCTTTAAGAGAGTACATCAAGATTACTCACTGTTTTTGCTATAAATCTTTGCTATTGTAAAAAGCGAGAATGGCTTTTGCCTGTAATTTATCAGAGCTGTAAAGCGGGGGACAGGTTGAATAGCCTCCTGCTAGTTTTCATAAAGCAACAGAGCGCTGATGCAATTTTCCCAGTAAATGTCTCTACCATCGTTATTTGTCATGACACAGAAATCAGTTTAAGAGAAGTTCATGTAGATAAGCGCCATGAAAACAGTGACCCCAAAGACACTCAAGCCACTCTTAAAAATGCCTGAGAGCCATTGTTTTAGATAACAAGATTCAAGCCAGTTAGCAACATGATGCAAATTATGCATGGAAAATGAAAATTCTGTCATCATTCACCAGGGTTATTATAAACTGAAATAAAAAATCAAATAAATGTTAGCTGAAATAAAATATAAAAGTTATTTTATTTCAGCTACTTGCCAAAGATTGGATTTTTAACTTAAATTAGTTTACTAAAATTAACTTGATTACAAAAAAAATGCTAAAGTAACTAACACTGAAATAAAAATGTATACAAAAAAATAAATGGACATAATTAATAAAAACAACAACAAAAAAAATTACTTTAAATTGAACTAAAATGGAAAATATATCAATAAAAACTGATCCAAAATATGAATCAAAACTAATAGTTTCTCAATGATACTAAAATAACACTGTCATTTTCTCACCCTAATGTCATTCTAAACCTGTGTCTGACTTTCTTCAGTGGAACACAAACATAATTTGAAAATGATGATAATAGTATTTGTTTTGTCCATTCATTGAAAATTAGTGGTGTCCAGTGTAGTTTAGGATCCATTGACAGTCATTGTACTGTATGTATAAAAACTGTTCTTCCTTTAAAAAAAAAAAAAATTTACATGAGGGAGAGTAAATGAAGACAATTTTCATTTTGGGTATTTTTCATTCAACTGTTCCTTTAAAATTCATGCATACATGCATTACACACATTACAAATACTGGATCATAATGCATTATAAATATTGCATTTCTTCTTATCTACCTTTTTCTTTCACCCCATTGTATTCTTTGAATAGCCTGACTGATGTATAACCTGGCACGTCTGACTTTAGGCATTTAGCACCTGTTGCTGGTAATTGTGCTGGAGTTCAACACATGCGTTGGCAGTTCAGTCAGATGCTAGACTGAAGGGAGATGAGGAAGTGAGAGGAGAGAGATAACCCAGCCTCTCTCTCTTTCTCTCTCTAACAGATGGACTAATAGCATAATTAAGTAGCCGTGCGCCCGGTTCCTGTTTACCGTCATGTTGCTTAGCAATGACATCAGCCAATCCCTCCATCCCTCTGTATAATCCTGCCCCCTCCTCTCTCTCTCTCTCTCTCTCTCTCTCTCTCTCTCTCTCTCTCTCTCTCTCTCTCTCTCTCTCTCTCTCTCTCTCTCTCTCTCTCTCTCTCTCCCACATGCATTCATCCCGGTAACAGTCTTAGCGTGCTGTAGTGGTCTGAGCGCAGCTCACAGGCAGACGGCATGACCACAGTGTGCTGGAACCTCGCATGTAGCCCACCGCTGCCATCGCAAACTCACACACATACACTTACACACAAAGACACGCAACAAGTCACGCTTCAGGGACACTAACAGATTACCAGAGAAAAGAAGATTCTACTTTTGAAGGTTTTTTTTTTTTTTTTTTTCATTTCATTTTCTTTATTTCTTTTTCTTTCTTTTTTTTTACCGCTACCACCCGCCACCCCTTAGCCGGGTTCAGGGGTGGTGGCACATCCTCAAAAGGGCTGCATGAATGACACAACGCAAAGGCGAGAAGACGACCATCAGCATCCAGGAGCACATGGCCATTGATGTATGTCCAGGTCCCATTCAGCCCATCAAGCAGATATCTGACTATTTCCCCCGTTACCCACGGGGTCTCCCCCCCACAGCTCCTCCGGCCCTCAGCCGCGCCGGCTCCCTGCGGAGCAGCTCCACCAGCCAGAAGACAGAGGGCCCGGCCCCTGACCCCAACAGGGATGAAGAAGACCTGGACCAAGCCTTCGGCGCCACCGCACTCGTGGCCAGCAAGAAGGAGGAAGAGCCCGACGTGGAAGGCTACGATTCGGACGACTCCAGTGAGTAGACGTTTCTTACTCCTTTTCTTTGTGCCACTCTAGAATGACAACTGTTGCCTCAGATTCCTCTGTCTGTCTGTTTGTTGTCGTCCACTCGGATGAATGGAGCTCCACTTTGGCGGCTCTGATTGAATGCTGGGAAATGGCAGGGGTTTATTTAGCACTTGTGATTCTTTAGGTTCAAACAGACAATGTTGAGAAGGTGAATGTGTGTTACATCGAGCCTCTTTGTGATCCGCACACTATGCCGTCTGGTTTTTGTGTTCGTTCCTTAGACCGACACATCTTTAAAGCGATTCTTGTGGGCATCAGGTGCGAGTCATCAGTTCCTGTTGTATATCTATATCCGTAGAGCTCTTGCCTGTCCCAGATGTAAATCCTATTATGGACCTCTGCCTGCCTCTCCGTTTGCTGTCTGGTTTTCAATCATGGCAGCCTGTAGACTAGATTAGATAGAGCCCTGTGGTCTCATGTGGTCATTTTATCATTATTATGCTCTGTCTTAGATGGGGTTAATCCATACAGTGTCGAGCTTAACGTGTGCGGCCGAGCATGTGTGCTGATGGAAACAATTTATAGCTGCAATGATGGGGTATGGATCTAATCCTGAATGGCTCTGGCATAGCATGCACTGCTCTGTTGCTGACAGATGTTAACCTTTGACCTGCATGCAAGACCAAGAGTGAGCTGCACAGGGAAAATCATTTCCTAAATCAGTATTTTGTACAGGAAAACAATATCCTTAAAACAGAATCAAATATGTTGAGAAGTAAAACCAGTCATTTCAGTTCTGATGCACCCTATTTAGGGAGCTCACTAGGTTTTGTAACAGAGCTATATTCAAGTCTTAAAATAATAGATTTCCCCAAAATAAAAATACAACCACGTGTCATTACAAACTGTATGACTTTCTTTTTACGTGGAACACAAAAGAAGATATTTTAAATTGAAAGTCAATGGGGTCCAAAACAACATTGGTTCCAATTGATGTTCACTGTATGGCAAAAACAAAAAAACACTGAGACATGTTTCCAAATATATTCTTTTGTGTTCCACAGATAAATAAATGTATACAGGTTGGAAACAACATGAGGGTGAGTCCATAATTTTTTGGCTGAACTATGCCTTTAAACGAGACACATTAGGACATCAAAAAGCAGATTAATGTGTAATAGTGAGCAATCTGTAGAACGTTAACCGTCCAAAGATGATCTGAAGTGCATCTCTGTCTTAGTATAATTGCATGCTTTTCTGTTGACCACAGTAATCAATATCAATCACTCATATGCAACAATCTGTCACAGGTTGATGAAATGTACCGGCCGATAAAAACCAGTCATTCACCTTTCATGAGGAATGTAATGCATGTAGATGCTGTTTCTGCGGGTGTGACCGTTAAAGCAGAGGATCGCGGTCTGATGCGCCCGTGTTTTATGATGATAGATTAGCACAGAGCTATTGTGCTGTGATTCATCAGTGTGCCTCAATAAATCATAACCCTCTTCCTGTTCTCTCATTCTCGTCTGTTGTCTGAATCACAATGCACATATTAGCTGCACAACAGAGACAAATTAAATCCTAACCTGACATGTTTGTTATGTGACTCATGAAATACAAATAAGCCAATTACACTAATTTGCCAGAGCATTTAATGGTTCGAATGTCTCACTGGGATTTTAGCAGAGTAACTTAGAGGAAGAAAATTATCTCAGAGGGATCGAATTTGAGGCTTTGCTAATGCAACAGATGGATTACAAGGAACTTCCACAAACATTTGGCCATGGCGTCTCTTCAGCTCTGCCGACAAACCGAGTTGAGGACTACAGGACAGATTGCAAACGGAGCAGTCTTCTGTTTTGAAGCTTAATTAAGAGCTGGATCCACACAAAATTGGACTTGAATTTTAGCTGAGCACTTTTTCAGTTGCAAACATGCAACCGGTTGCTTCATTAGTAAATAGTGTCTAAGCTAGGGAGAATTAAAAATAAAATGATGAATTCCCGGTAGGCTTCAAAGCCCTTAACGAAATACCACCTGTTTGTTACTCGTGCTGAAAGCCTTGCTGACCTGTTGACTTGAATTAACTAAACACTTATGCTTTGGGGAAAACAAGACACTTTGACTGATGCAATCCTCATTTTACCCATGATTACCTGTTCGCCCTGTACCAGGGAAGCAGGTCCTTTGGGTTATGTACCTCTGGGGGTTTCTGTACACTGCTGCTTGACACATTCCTGACGGTGTACTACAAGAATAATCTTCAGTCTAATAATAGGGTGTTCACATTGACAGCCTTTTGAAGTGACTAGGAGTCTTTTGTTTTTTAATAAGAATTGGTGGACAAACAGATAGTCCCGCCTTCGAACTTACACCATTGGTTGAGCCCTGTTAGGTTGCTCAAACAAACTTTTGTCATCAATTACTCACCTCATATAGTTCCAAACCCATAAGACTTCCATTAATCTTTAAAACACAAATGAAGAAATACGTATTTAATGAAACCTGAGAGATTTCTGTCCCTCCTTTTGGAGAGAAAAAAAACAAAAACAGTGCATCCAAAATCGCTTACTGTCTGAGAAGGTACCACTCACTTCGCAAAGTACGTTCTATATATATATAGTATGAATATGGATAGTATGAATTAAATGTTATTGTCACATGACCAACCAGCATCAGTTGGTCGTTTCAATGCCATTCACAAACCTACTGTTTTTCAAATAGTCGAGCGGTTTAATGTAAGTCTTCTGAGACACAGTCGCTTAATGTGATGTGCAGATTTATTTAAGACTTAAATAGTGATCAACATAGAGCACATCAGTGGCGGAGCCAGGATTTTTTCATAGGGGTGGCCAGGCAGGGGCCAGCAAACAGTCTGGGGTGGCACATAAATCTTAATTATTTAAATAATGTATTGGACTGTTCCTACACAACTGAATACAGTTCATTTGTATTCAATTGTAATTGAGAGAGTAGTGAATTAGGAATCATGGAATACTGAGTGAATTTGATATTTCTTTATTATTATTAGCTACTCACCACCTCCAGGCATATTAATAAAGGGGACACACACTACAGCTAAAGTTCTTTAGTCATATAGTAAACTTGCTCAGTTAGCATGGTGTTCTCAAAACCCCCAACATTGTTGCACCTTCATGGATGAGACATGCACATAACTACTGTAGTTCAAAGATTATTTAACCCTCATTGAATTTTATATAATCAATTAACTCTTCTACTTTCTATATTAGTTGACAAAATAAAGAATCTAAACCGTTCTATCATACCTAATTAAAAAGGGGGGAAACATCTCTTTTGAATCGCTATGTGCGAGAATGTGAACAAGGCGGAAGTCAACATGCACATAAATGGCAGAATGTAAAATTTTATGGATTTAAAAATTATGCATTTTATTTTTGTCCTTTACAAATTAACGCAAAATTAACGCCTATCTTCTAGTACAAATGCACAGTGCTCACATTTATTTGTACATTAAAAAAACACATAGCCTATCAGTTTGTGCCTTAAACATGGCAGAATATTTTAGTCTAGACATATGTGACGCATATATAACAAATACATACATGTATGCCGTTTTGACACAGATTTGATCGCCTTTTTGATTATTTCAGTCAATTGACGACAGAACTACGGCTACACCACGCCACATTTGCGCGTGATGTGCAAGTACAGTACAACGTCTGACAGGACAGTAAAAAGTTAATTTTACTGACATTTGTTGACCTTGCAACATCTCATCTTACAGCAGATAGCCAACTGATTCAGGACAACGCGCTTTTCTCCGCATCTGACAGAAGTGTCACAAGCTTTCACACAGATCTTTCAAAATAAAAGTAGAATCAGAAAAAAAGAGAATTACGTTGTTGTTTCTTTGACTGGACATATGCGACTCACTCAAAACGATCTTGCAACCCACCAGTTGAGGAACATCGAATCTATATTTACTATGCTCCGGTCACTGCTGAAGCTTATTCGGCACCTGTACATTTCCGCACTCGTTTGACTTGCGCCTGGCGCTGAGGTGAAGTTGGAGTGCGCGTCTGAAAAGTCTCACGTTTTTTGTGGTCGTAAGATACGGTTCTGTGTTTTAAAAACGCAATTCTTGTAAAAAAAAAAAAAGAGAGAGAGAGAGACTGAAACGGCAGTTGTGAGACGGGTGGCCAAAGGGGTGGCCAAGCTTAAGCCAAGGGTGGCCATGGCCACCCCTGGCCACCCCCTGGCTCCGCCACTGGAGCACATCATTTATGGCAAACTGGAAGCTAACCGTACTTGCTTGATCTGTGAGAACCAATGAGTTTTGTTCTTGCATGTTACGCCAGAGTTTCTGCAAGAACGAATGAGAACGTGTCAAACAAATACAATTGAGCTTCTGTCGACCACATTTGATGTGCTCATCTCTCAGGTTTCATAAAAAAATATCTTTTGTGTTTTGAGGATGAACGAAAGTTATATGTGGAGCCACATGAGGGTAAGTAAATGATGATAGTATTTTCATTCATGCATAACCCTACTGTAATACTCTATTTGAATCTGAAACCGAGATCGTTTGAGATGCACAGAAAGATTATAGAGCGCCTGTTTGTTTGTCAAACAACTGTCTTACAGTTACATAAGCGATTATGTTTCAGTCCGGAATGTCACATGCAACCGCATATTTTTGTTCCGGAGGATTAGTGGTTTAAGCATCATTAAATATACCTGGTTGAGTCATGACATATTATCCCTGCAATTAAGACAAGCCATTACTGGGAAGCTGCACTTAAGGTTAATTGTTTTCTAGGCTTTGGTCAATCGGACTGAAAGTGATCTGAAAGAGTTTTGTTCACCAGATACTTGTTGAATTACATAACAGAACTGGGGGTGGGGGGGTTTCTTCTTTTGGTTTATCCCTGGTGGATGAGCTTTTTTAAAGGATTAGTTGACAAGACACAAAATTAACTTGCAGAAAAATCTCCTTGCCATCCACTAGACTCTAGAAAGCC